TTCTGTCAGAGGTCCACTGGTGATCCCCGATTGATCTTAAAGGAAGGGTTGCAGGCACGTTGGCCTGCAGGGTTATGGGCGCACTCACCCGCCACACAAACAAGCCTTTTTATCCCAGTGGTTAGTGACTGGGATTCTGACAGGGTATTAGAGCGAAGGTCTCGGGTTCGAATCCCGGTGTGTGCACTTCGGGCATCCCAGTGCGGGGGGGTGTCAAAGGTCCACTGGTGATCCCCGATTGATCCTAGGGAAGGGTTATAGGCACGTCGGCCTGGGGGGTTATGAGCGCACTCACCCGCTACACAAACAAGCTCTTTTATCCCAATGGTTAGTGACTGGGATTCTGACACGTTCGCCTCCCAAGAGGCCCAGCCCTAAGCCTTGCGCAAGCCTACTAATCTTGCGCATTCGCATATCCCATAATCTCACACTGCCGACTCAAAAATCCCCTCCTGTAATGAAGATCTGTGGATTGGAAGGATCTGGGCGGCAAACTGACATGGCGCCACCCTGAAGTGTTAAGAGAGTAGCAGTACAAAGTTTAGAAGCAGAAAGAGGGGTTTCACTAGCAGCAGTTGAGATACAAATAGCAAACCCTAACTGGGCCGTACTCACTATTGAGTACCCCACTGCAGGCTAGAGAATATAACATTCTGACATGAAGCACCTCTGTTACTGTAGCTCCTGATTCCACGTCAGCTACTCGCACTGTAGCCTCCAGGCTGGCTGTCAGGAGCCGAGTGGCATCGTTTGTTCACGACGATTCTTTCACTGCTGCCCGGTGACCATTAAACACCCTAACGGGGCAGAGAGGAAACGTTTTCACAGAATTTGCCCGTTCTCTTGGGCTTTCTTTGAAGGGACTCCACACCTTGACTGCCCCATCCTTCCCTGCTGACGTCAGCAGATGGCTGTACTGTGGGGACCACCTGACACACGTGGCAGGGCGTGAGTGTGCTGACTGGATCCTGTGGGGTCGGGAGGAAAGTGGAAAGATAGGGGGAGACAGATGGAGATGGAGGGGAAGGGGGTGAGGGAGGGTGGAAAAAGGAAAATCTCATTGACACATCAGGCACCGTGGCGATTTTGAATCACCTTAAAACAAAGCGGGGGTTGGGTAACGGAGGGGGGAGGAAGCGGGAGGGAAAGAGGGGAGGGGAAGCTCACCGACACATTAGGTGTCGCGATGCAGCAAATGTCTCAGCAAAAGCGCCCTCTTGTTCAACCGCGGCGAGTCGGATCCAGTCAGGCTCGTCCAGGAGAGCTTCCCCGGTTTCCCGCATAACATTATCCTCTGAGATTTTGTTGGTTAGCTGCCCGTGAGAGACGTAGCTTTGGCTGGAAGAAGATGAACGCTATGGCCGAGGGATGGGAAAGCTAAGCCTTTCTTGCTGAGCCTGAGGACGCGGTAAAAGTGGGAAGATCGCAGGATCGCGATTGTTTTTTGAGCCGCAAAATTGATTGGGCGGATCGATTGGTGAAACGAGGGACCCGCTCGGTTGTAACGATCGCCCCAGCATGATGGTTTGCCTCTTCCACATTCGATACATTGGTTTTTCCTGCGACACCTGCGACACCTGCGTCGTTTCGTAGCTCACAGGGCAACCAAAAGCGACATTCGCAGCCCACAGGCCCACATTGTGGGAATGATGTGCGACTCCATTCACCCGCTTTGCGAATTAACAGCACTTCGCTGGCATCAACATCAATCGTGCCTGTTGTGATTGGTTCATGAAAATCATCTGCAGAGTCATGCCTCGGAAAGCTGAACACCAATCAGTGATCAGTCGCATTCACCACCTGTGCACAATATGTCGACAAAATCCAAACTGTAGCATGGTTACAAGTCCGTAAACAGGGTACCGTCATACCCCGGATAGAAGCGCCCCTGGGGTTGTAATAAAACACTGTTTTTTAGGGGGTGCGCTTATAATTGAGGAAATTTATAAGCGCCGGGGCTTATATAATGACATATATGAAATCTAGTTTTTTAACACTAAAGTGTTCATCTCGTCCTTGCGATTTGAATCGAATCGAGATTGTACAGGGTATTGACTGTGAATTTCGCGTAAATTGGCAGTGGCTGATTCCCTGCCAACACACACAGTCAGAATGAGTCAGATTGACCCCATGACAGCTCATTCTGACTGGACGCGAAGGCATTGAGTCGCGCGAGGGGGAAGGGTTTCGAAATTCAGAGAGTGGGGATGCAACAAAATGTGTTTCGTTACAGCGTTTCCAGTAAAAATATAAAAATATTACAAAGGGTGGCGCTAATAATCCGTAAGCCTTCAGGGGTGCGCTTATAATCGAGGACCGGATATAAGCGCCCTCATCCTTTTATAAGCGCCGGCGCTTATCCGAGGCCTGCGCTTCTATCCGGGGTATGACGGTATCTGATCCGCACACCGCTCGCAGTTCACGATCGATCGTCTTCTTTTACCGCGTCCTGACAGTGAAGCACTCTCAAAGTCTACATGCAACGGAATGATTGGAATTAGGGTTTGCAAGCATACAAATAGGAGTCCTACAAATGTTGTACCCTTTAGGGAGTGCCTCACTGCAGCCTATCATAACATTAACATTTGACACACCCCCATAGGCTAAGTGAGGGACACCAGGGCAAGCAAGGTGAAAACAAACGGTCACAAGACCAGTCAAGGCAAGACAAGCTCAGGGTGGAGCTCAAGGACACCACACAAATTCCGAGCACAAGCAAGCGGCCACAAGGCCAGTTCAACAGTTCACTAGGATATAAATATGAAAACACAACAAGCAGAGCAAGCAACAAGACTACAGCAACCGGGGGCCTACCTCAACAAGCCCCAACTGCACACAGAACCTGTGGTGATCACCAGGCGCCAAGGCCTTGGTGAAGACGTCTGCAGTGTTGGCCTCTGAGGCCACAAAGTCCAGGCGTGCCTGGCCGCGTCGCTGCAGCTCTCGCAGGAGGAAGTACCTCACGTCAATATGCTTTACTCTGCTCTCCAGTCGCGGCTCTCGACACAGGAGGATCATGGCCTTGTTGTCAGCGTACAAGGTCGGTGCAGAACGAGGCCGCTCACCAAGGTCGGTGAGCAAGAAGGTCAACCAACGAAGCTCCTGTGCCGCCATGGCACCAGCGTAGATCTCTGCCTCTGCACTGGAAGTAGCCACAGACGACGACCGAGTAGACCTCCACGACACAGCACCAGCTCCCAGACTGAAGCAGTAACCCTGAGTCGAACGCTGAGTCTCCACGTCGTCAGCGTAGGAAGAGTCGCAGTGCCCAGTCAACGCCACTGGCTGAGTCCCTCCAAGCACAAGCCCCATGCCTGATGTAGTCGCCAGGTACTTCGCCACCCTCACAGCAGCTGTCCAGTGGACAGGACGGTGTCTCCCAGTCGCAACAAAGCGAGAGAGGACGCTGAGGGGAAAGGCGAGGTCCGGCCGAGTACAAGTCATCAGGTACATGAGGCAGCCCACCAGCTCTGCGTAGGGACCACTGGACTCAAAAGGCTCGTCGGGAAAGGGGCCAGTGAGTCTGTGGTCAACAGCAAGAGGAGTGGGCTGTGTGGTGGAGAACTGGAAGTCGAACCGCCGAAGGACCTGCTGCACCATGTGTGACTGCGTCAGTGTGAGCGGCTCTGTCCCGGGTGATCTGCAAGCCAAGGTAACGCTGCAGCTCACCCAGGTCAGTGCACTTGTGTCTCTTCTGCAGTTCGAACTTCACCTGAGCCAGGGCTGCCCTGTCTGCTGTAGCAAACACCAAGTCGTCGACGTAGACAAGGATAAAGAAAGGAGTAGAACCCGCTCGAACAAACAGCGACGGGTCGGCGGAGGACGGGCTGAACCCAAGGTCACGAAGCGTGGAGCGAAGAGTGTCGTGCCACTCACGGGGCGACTGGCGGAGACCGTAGACTGGTCGCCTCAGGCTCCACTGGGTCCCTGGTGGGAAGGTGTCAGTGAAACCAGGAGGACGGCGCAGCCAGATCTCCTCGTGCAGTCGGCCCTGGAGGAACGCAGTGGAGAAGTCGAGGGAGTGCAGCTCGTAGTCTCGCTGCGCTGCTATGTGGAGTAACACCCGAAGAGTAGTCATCTTCGGGGTCGGGGCGAAGGTCTGGAAGAAGTCAACTCCCTCACGCTGACTGAAGCCCCTAGCCACGTAGCGCGCCTTGAACACCGGCGGTGCTCCAGGCGGCCGCTTCACCTTGAAGAGCCACATGCCATCGACTACGTTCGCCCTGGGAGGGGGAACTGCGTCGACGTAGGTGCCTGTGGATCTCCAAGACGCCAACTCTGAGTCCATAGCCGCTTTCCACTGAGAGGCCCACGCCCCTGACACTGCCTCGCGGTAAGTGCGAGGAGTCGGTATGTCAAGGGCGTCGGGGTCTCCCTCAGGGGAGAGCAGCATGGCACACACAGAGGGAGAAGCGGCTGCCCAGTACTCCAGCTCAGACTCTCTGTCCTCTAGGACGTCACAGCCAAGGGCAAACTCACCCCCGACGGACAGAGGACGGTAGGGAGGAGCTGGCACCACACGGGTGGCGTAGTCAAGGCGGCTGGCGGCAGCAAACTCAGCGACAGCGGCAGTGAGAGCAGAGACCGACGACGGAGGGAAACGAGAGTCGGTGACAAGAGTGGCGAGGACACGTGCGGCAACAGGACGAACAGCGCGGTAGTAGTCGGTGATAGGAGTGGGGAGGGAAGGGAGAGAGGACGGAGGAGGAGACGGGAGAACGGACTCAGGAGAAGGAGAACGACGACGAGACGAACAAAGGAGGGCAGTGTGGAGGTCAGTAACAGGGGACGAGTGACGAGCACGCGGCGAACAACGGGTGACCAAGTCGCGACGGACAGAAGGAGGAGGAGACTGTGGAGGAGGAGAAGACCAGACCGCCGGACGGTCGTCAGGAGGAGGCAACGGAGAAACAAACACAGGAGGAGACTGGGAGCGGACAGGAGGAGAGGAGGAAAGGCCAAGGGCCCGCAGGCCACTCACAGGTGGGAACAACTGCCGCTCAAGAGGAAGCTGCGGAGGCGGCTGCTGCTGCTGCTGCTGCGGCTGCGGCGGCGGCTGCGGCTGCTGCTGCTGCGGCTGCTGCTGCTGCTGCTGCTGCTGCTGCTGCTGCTGCTGCTGCTGCTGCTGCTGCTGCTGCTGCTGCTGCTGCTGCTGCCGCTGCTGCTCCAGAAGGTCCAGCACCCGCAGCTCCTGCCGCTCCCTCTCCAGCCGCTCCTGCTCCTCACGCTCACGCCGACGGGCAGCCTGGAGACGCGTGTCGTGGCGGTGGGGAGGCGGAGTGGACTCCGCAGAACCAGGGCCTCCAGCGTCAGTCTCCTCAGACTCAGCTCCCCCAGAACTAGCACCGCCAGCGCCAGCACCTCCAACTCCAGCACCCCCAGAACTAGCACCTCTAGTGCCAGTACCTCCAGCTCCAGCACCCCCAGAGCCAGCGCCACCTGCGCCAGCACCTCCAGCTCCAGCACCCCCAGAGCTAGCGCCGCCTGCGCCAGCACCTCCAGCTCCAGCACCCCCAGAGCTAGCGCCCCCAGACCGAGCACCGCTAGAAGCTGCACCTCCAGCTCCAACACCAACCGAGTCCACAGGAACCTGTCGCGGAAGCGCCGAAGGCTGCTGAGGGGGCTGTGAGGAGGACTGCGGGGAGGGAGACGCTACCTGACGCGCGACCGAGGGTAGAGGGGTAGCGTGAGACACACCAGACGGGGCAGGACCAGGGGGGGGCAGGGGTACCGGAGGAGCGGGAGCAGGAGGAGGAGAGGGTGCGAGGAAAAGAGGGGGAGGGGGTACCGGGAGACCTCGACAAGGGTACCGGGTGTAGTAGGACACGGACTCGTCAAACCGGACGTCACGGGAGTCTAGGAACTGGTGGAGGGGCGGGTGGTAGAAGGACCAGTCGGCCGAGTCTACCGGGAAACCAAGGAAGACACAGGGAATGGCGCGTGCCGAGAGCTTGTCCGCAGAGGTGTCGCGGACCTGCGCAAGGCAGCCCCAGACTCGAAAGGCCGACCCGACACCAGGGGAACCAGTCCAAAGACTGGTCGGTGAAGCCTCGGGCCGCGAGACACGCGGCTGGAGGTTCAGCTGGTGTGCGGCGTAGCGAACCGCGTGGGGCCACAGAAAATGGGGCGCACGGGCATGGATCATGGACGTGCGGGCGATGTCCATGACCAAGCCTATGCGGCGCTCAGCAACCCCATTCTGCTGTGGGGACTCTGGCAGAGTCCAGGACTGGGTGATGCCCTGTTCGCCGCAGAATCCGCCGAGAATGCCGGAGCGAAACTCGCCCCCACGGTCGGAGTGGAGACAACTGACTCGACGACCACGAGTGCCCTCAGTGGCTAGAAGCCACCTGATCAGCGTAGCAGTCACCTCGGACTTCTTCGCAAGAGGGAACACTGTGGTGTACCTGGAGAAGTCGTCGACGACCACCAGAAAGTAACGCTCCCTCCCAGACCCCTGCGTCGGGGCAGGGCCCCAGACGTCCAAGTGGAGAGTCTCGAAGGGAGCGGTGGCCGGACGAAGGGAGGAGGAGTGGGGAGTGGCGCGTAAGCGACCGGCGACGCACGGAGAGCAAGGAGGGGCAAGCGAGAGAGGGAGCGACGGGAAGGTGCGTGGGAGACCTGTGACTAGTCCGTGACTGAGCATGCCACGAAGGCGAGGGATCGACGGGTGGCCAAGACGGTGGTGCCACAGAACGGTGCGGTGGGCGAGAGAGCGACAGGAGCAAGACGCAGCGACTGGACTGGACACAGCGACCGGACTGGACACGACTACCTGGCTAGACACAGCCACTGGACTGGGGACCTGGGTCGGAGGGGACGCAACAACCGGAGGGGAGGACGCGACCGGGGAGCGCTCGGTGTGGAGAACGTAGAGACCGGAGCGGGGCTCCCTGGTGAACGTGGCCAGAACAGCACCTGTGGTAGCGTCAGTACAGACTGCAGTCCGCCCACCCCCCAAGAAGGTAACCGTGATCCCCCTGTCCTGAAGGTATCCAACACCCACCAAGTTCCGAGTGAACGAGGGGATGTGGAGGCCACGCAGGACACCAGAGGGGACCACAGGGCACGGGAGGGTGGTGGAGCTACGCGCAACGGCTGGTCCAGAGGTAGGATCAGCCAGAGCCACCGACACAGGTGTGAGGAGAGGCGTAAGGGTCGTGCGGTCGCGGAAGAAACACTGAGACGCGCCCGAGTCCAGCGTGAACGAAAGAGAGGCCTCAGCCGGTGGGTCACTCGACCCAGTCGCTACACAAGCACCTAGAGCAGCAACACAAGCACCTAATCTAGACAGGCACAAGGCTACACTAGCAGGAGGCAAGCAGTCTAACCTACGAACACGCGAGCACACAGATCCATCAGCACTAGAGTCAGCATCAACATACAAAGCATATTGACGCGCATCGTCCATGGACAAAGCAAATACATCAATCTTACGGGCTAACAGACGAGACCAGCGAGGCGTGCTCGCCAAAGGGCCCCAACGAGCCCGGTAGAGGTCGTCGAGGCGGCGGAAGCACCGCGCGGCAGAGTGGTCGTCGCGACCACAGAGACAGGGGCTACCCGGCCCGGTGACGCACCAGTGAGTGCACGGGCCAGCGTCACGGCGAGGGGGGCGAGGGGCCCAGCTGGAAGTACTGCTGCTGCGGCTGGTGCTCCCAGGGCCTCCCGGACCCCACTGCGGCGGGGGACCCCAGTGCTGCTGCGGACCCCACTGCAGCGGGGGCCCCCACTGCTGGAACTGCTGCGGTGCCTGCTGCTGCTGCTGTCCCTGCTGCTGCTGCTGTCCCTGCTGCGGGTGGTGCTGCTGTGGCTGCTGCTGCTGTGGGGGAACGCCCCCACCGGTCGGGCCTCCACCTGTGGGTGGGCCTGTCTGTCCAGCACCTCCTCCAGGGCCCCCTCCCCCTGGTGCACCACCGCCGCCGCCTCCGCCGCCTCCGCCACCACCGCCGCTCCCACCTCCACCGCCACCTCCACCGCCGCCTCCACCGCCCCCACCTCCCCCCTTTCCGCCCTTCTTGCCACTCTTGCCCCGTTTCTGCCAGTCTGCGGCAGAAACGGCAGCGGTGTCCTCAGAAACCGACACAGCAGCAGAAGCGCGGGTAGCAGTGAAAGTGGGAAGCTGAGGGGCGGCACACCCCGCAAAGAGACGGGGGGCCACCGCATCAGTGGCGGAGGCAACGGTGAGGAGGCTGCTCTCGATGGTCCCGAGAGCAGTCTGAAGGAGGTCTATAGTGAGCTCAGTGGGGTGCTTCTGAAGAAGCGCGTCGCGGGCAGTGGCAAGGCGGTCAGGGAGGCGGGTGACTAACCAGTGTACAGTGAGCCACATGGGGGGGGGAGCAACAAGGAGCTGTGCGTCGGTACAGGCAGCACGAAAACCGGCGTCAAGCGAGCGGAGGTGAGTCACTAGGTCGGAAACAGTGGCAAACGAGCCTAGGTCGGGAAACACAAACGGCATGAGGAGGCGACTGAGGGAGGCGGAGGAGGGGGTGGAGTAGCGGGCAACAATAGCATCCCACACCCCCTTGGCTGTCTCCACCTGGTCAAAGTGGGCGGCCTCAGTCGGGGGGAGAAGCTCCGACAGTGTGAGAGCGGCGGCAGCGTCACGCGAGAGCCACACGTCCCTGGCCAGGACCCGACGGTCGTACTCCGCCTGGGCCGTAGGGGTCGGCTCCGGGGTGGTCGGCAGGGCGGCGGGGGACGGGGGGGCCTGTAGGGCACCAGACGCGTGAGCCCACAGAGTGGCGCCGTCCTGTCGCTGGCTGGTGAGGAAGCGTGTGGTCTGGCGCTGCCAGGTACCGAACTCGATTGGGCGTCCCTCCGCATCGAAACGGAGGCGACGGGCCTCCATAGCGGAGCCCATGCTAGAGGCGGCAGGGGCACGGCGGAGGCGGAGCTAAGAACGAGGAGGAGGAGGACATAGACTAGGCGTGAAATCGTGGATCGCCAGCTACAGGTGCGAGGAGCGAGGTATGAGTGGCTAAAACGGCTCTAACCTAGGTGACCGGCGAGGGAGAGCGGCTGCCAGCCGCTGAGGGATAGTCCAGTGTCAGCAGATTTGGGGAGGGCCTCGCGCACAAGGCGGCGGTGGGGCTAAGGTGATGAACAGTGAGAGAGGGGAGGGGAGGGCGGTTTTGACGGTGGGAATGGGCGGGAGGGCGGTTTTGACGGTGGGAATGGGCGGGGAGGGCGGTTTCGACGGTGGGAATGGGCGGGAGGGCGGTTTGGACGGTCGGAAAGGGCGGGTGGGCGGTTTTGACGGTGGGGATGGGCGGGGGCCAGGGCGTACGGGCTAGGCGCGGGCCTGGGCGACGGGCTACGCGCGGGCCTGGGCGACGGGCTAGGCGCGGGCCTGGGCGACGGGCTAGGCGCGGGCCTGGGCGACGGGCTACGCGCGGGCCTGGGCGACGGGCTACGCGCGGGCCTGGGCGACGGGCTAGGCGCGGGCCTGGGCGACGGGCTACGCGCGGGCCTGGGCGACGGTTGACGCGACGGGCAGGGGGAAGGGAGGCGACGCGACGGGCAGGGGGACGGGAGATAACGCGACGGGGAGGCGAAGGGGAGGGCACGGAGGGGGGGTTACTAAGGGGCGCGACGTGGGGCGGGCTGAGGGCCGCGCTAAGGCGCGAGAGGGCGCTAGGAGCGCGGAGAGCGCGGAGGGCGCTAGGCGTGACGGAGGGCGCGGAGGGCGCTAGGCGCTACGGAGGGCGCTAGGCGCTACGGAGGGCGCGGAGGGCGCTAGGCGTGACGGAGGATCGATACCTACTCGTGATACCATCTCAAAGTCTACATGCAACGGAATGATTGGAATTAGGGTTTGCAAGCATACAAATAGGAGTCCTACAAATGTTGTACCCTTTAGGGAGTGCCTCACTGCAGCCTATCATAACATTAACATTTGACAAGCACCTCTCCCGAAGACGCACAGTTTGGTCGGTGGGGAGAACGACGAGGAGACTCGCGAATGCCTAGTGCTTTCGCCGATGTTACCTCGGCGCTAGCAAAGTTTACTAGCTGATCCTGCTGCTTGCGAATGAGTCACACGACAACCAGTGATCAGCTTTGAGCAGGGCAACCCCATCCCCCTTTTAGTCTAGAAACCCTGCCGGCTTTTGTTCGACCAAAACACTCTTCCTGGAACCCAACTTCGATAACTCCACATGCGGGAACCATTCAAGATGATCCAGGTCATTATGCACAAAATTCTGATGCAACCACTTTCAACACTGTCACAAGGGCATTCCGAGGACCTGCTCCAATCTAACATAAACGCTTTGCTTTGCATCAAAGTAAGCCATCCAAAAGAAGCCAAGCTAGCCAATTACTTTCTTGAGCTTCCCACATAGTGCGTATACTTTCCCCCCCGAAGTCCCCTTGTAACCAGCCTGATAGTATTTGCCATAATTCAGCATCGCCATCATCGCCCGATTCGCGTCCTCCGGAGTCCCTGGCCCTGAAAACAAACTGGCTGTGAAGCTATAGCGCTTGGCGCGACCTTCCTTGTCACTAGTGATGTTACGCCAAGCTATCATATCGTCAAACGGGCTAGCAGTGCAGGAACGGGAGAAACCCGTGAAGCCAGGTAAGAATCCACCATTTTGGAGCTTCAAGAGCCTGACGGAGAACATGTAATAGTATGACGTTGTTGAATACCTGCCATCAGGGAATCGAGGGGGATGGGCCAACAGGGAATAGAGGGGGATGGCCGTGAGAGGGAGAGATGAGGAAGGGGTGGGGGGGGTTGTGGTTGGGAAAGGAGGGAGGGGGAGGAGGCGGGGGAGAGGGGGGAGGGGAGAGGAGGTAGGGGGAAGCGTTTGGAAAGGCGGGTGGGATGGGGGCTAGAACCATTTAGGCCTGGTGCATGATTTATGGAAGGCACTCAAAAAAGTGCAAGAAATTTATAGTCCTGTTAGTGGTGAGCGATAACAACAAGGAACAGCAGCAGCAGCAGCGGGAGATAATACTACGCACCTCACGACCTTCAAGACCACTTTTCCAGATGCACCTTTGCAGCCGATCACTTTCCCGTTTATCTTGGTAGGTCGCAACTTAGCCACGTATTTTTCTGGCAGAGAGAACGGCAGGTACAGGGGCGCATGTAACAAGCTTGGGGAAACGTGTACTTTCAGGTCGGCTTAAAGGGTCACTTTATGATAAACTTGTGTGGGTGAAGCATAATCTAGGAAAACCTTACGACACAGGGGCAAAGAGCACAGCAGTAGACTCACCCACAATCTTCCCTCTCCGCTCCAAGGGCTTGGCCACCTGTCTTGCGGCCTCGGACGCGGAAGCGCTGCCGCTGCGTGCGAGAAGTGGCGGAGAAATTGAGGCTGAAGCTGCAAGAGTGAAGAGCGCCGCACCTGACGGGGGAGCACCATCACCATCACCATCACCATCAGCATCAGCATCAGCATCAGCATCACCATGTGAAAATTTAGGGGCACGAAAACAGCAAAAACCCTGATATCTCCGCCGCCACTGCTGCTGCTGCTGCTGCTGCCAGGGAAGGGGAGGTGGTGTGGGGGGGAAGAGTTTCAATGCCTCATTATTGAGTTCACGCCGACCAAGGAGTACCGCTGGTGGCACTGCTGGTTCCCTTATATCCCCGCCGCTGCTACCAGCTGCTGCAGGGGAAGGATGGGGAGAAGAGAGAGGAGGGATGGTGCCGGGATGGGGGAGGATGGGGATTAAGGTAAAGGGCCAAAGAACGGAAGGTAAACAGTAGGGTAAACAGTAGGTGCAGAGAACGGTTTCACGGGTAAACATTATTCCTCAAAGGAAGTGGATAAGAGAAACGACAAAGCTGACGACGCCGAGAAAGGAATGCACTGTGCCACGTGATGGCACGAGATGATGGCACGAGATGATGATGGCATGAGATGATGATGGTTCGAGATGACGATGGCACGAGATGATGATGGCATGAGATGATGATGGTACGAGATGCTGATGATGCGGCAAGAGACATGGCATGAGACATAGTAGGTCTTGGCAGTCGTATGAGTAAAGGAGCAAAGAGTTCTCACAGAGGAGGACGAGAGCTGCCACTCGGAGAGGTGCGACACGCTTCATGGTGGTAGTAGCGGAGGAGGGTGAAAGCTAGTAGAGATCTCTGGTGAAATTCTGAAGTGAAAAATGATCTGGGCAGCTGGAATGCAGACGAAGTGGTATTCTGAAGTATAAGACTCTGACGAAGCGGAACGGTTCTGGCGTACCAGTAGTATCGCGGCGCGGGCCTTTGCGCTGCTTCGGGCCGCGCTCAACGGACCAAGCTACGAGCGTCAGGATTTCAGCCGGGCCAAGCTGCCAGCTTCGGGCAGCTAGACCAAGCTGCGACTCGCCTCGACAGTTGTTGAAGCTGGATGCAGACGGGAGCACGAAATCATCCGAATTCACATTCCTGATCTCCACCGACCGCTGATCTCCACCGAGTCGCTAATCCTCCATGTGCGCCGGTCCTGAGACCGCTGGTGACACGCTGTGCTGATACTGCAGCGATGCCCAAACAATGGACCAACTCTACTGTCGACACTCGGCGAGTGTAGTAGTAGGTTGATGACATTAATAGAGCCAAATGAGAAGCTACTAGTAGCCGCACGTGAAGCGTGCGGCGCTAAGAAGGCTCGAAGTCTTCCTACTACACCTCGCAAACCTGCCCACATAATAAGGCGGCTTCTTTACGAACAGTCTCAGACAAATCTGTAGGCACAAATGTGGGACTGTTACCATCCCAAAAATTCAACTGCCGAAATTGGCTCGAAATCGTGGGATACCTCAACGCATCGCACGCGAGGTTACCCTCAAGAACCCAACAGGAAACATGAGGGCAACAACGATATCAAGCGAAATTCACGAGAATGTCGTTTACTATCGAGAAAACAAATTGACCAATCAGGATGCAGGAGAGTTTCGAGGTTACCTCAAGGAAACCCCACTGCCTCGGAACGAGGCTAGTCCACTGGCTTGGTCGCACTGTTTCGGAAACCGAAGCTGACCCGCAGCAGGTTTCGATAATAGTGTAAGTTCTAGCAGCACTGCTGAATGATGAGATTGGTTAACGCGCCTCACCATATCGCGTTGTATTCTGATAAGTTTCGCTGAGAAGCAGGCAGAATAACTGTCACCAATCAAATCCTTCCACGTCACTTCTGCACCGCAGATCCTTTTGGTGATGCGTCGAAGTGTATTTCAGTGGTTCTAACAGTTGCTCTGATTCAGTTGTTGAATCATCCATCTCACGCTTTTTCCAACTCGCCATGGCGTCATAGCTCCGCGATCGTCGCTACTTGGAGCTTAGTTGTCAGAAAGCTGTCCGTGCACGCTCTATGACTAGGATCCTTTAAATTTCCAGTATTTTACCATGGACTTCATAGGGTTTCCGGTATTGCCGAAGTCGAATAACGAGTAATTTCTATATTCTCTGATGATTGTTTCTTTATGGCAGATTACCGATGGCGGAAGCGATGCCAGGGTTTGTGCCGCCATCACGTACTGCCGTAGATCTCGTTGTCGCGGCGAGGCTCTTAGTAGCGGTCGTGAGGTAAGCGATATGACCGTGATGTGATAATTTATGATTTATGTCCCCTGGAGTTTCTGGATGAGCGCCGCTCGTTCTGTTTGGCATCATGTCGTCATCCTGTTTCGCAGGTTGAAGCCACATTTCTCTTTGTCAGCCACCCAGTTTGCTCTTGCTTTCTTATTGTCATTGTATGTTTCACTGCAATCCGATGCCCTTGCGTCTTAATTTGCGCCTTGATTTTGCAGGCGCTAGTTCACCGAGCCTCCTAGCTGCCAGATTCTCTTCGCCTGGTAAGCACGTTCGCCACTCGGTAATAGACAGCTGTAATTTCGCACTAGTGTTTCCCAGTCCGTCTGGGTCTTGACATGTTCCCATTCTGTGTTGTGTTCACTACTCAGGTGTGATAGGAACTATGAATCAACGACCTGATTCTGAAGAAGTGTTATTTTCAAAGATATTTGCATCTCTATTTGATCTGAAACTTACTCTGTGCAGTCATAGTTTGTCTTTTGCACACTTGCACGGTGGTGTAAGTCCTAACATTGTGTTTTGAATGTATTCATCATTGTTATGAATCGTGTACGGGCATCTTTATATGGCGCACTCTTTATTTGGTATATTTAGCATATACAGGAAATGAGTCTTAGACGATGGAAACAGGCTTTATGAAATAGCATCAATACTATCAGCGATTAAAATGAGTCAAAATGACCCTAATTACATTATTATATGACAACGAGAAATAATTTAGTGTACTGTATGATTTGCTGGTCGCGAACAGTCTCACAGCGCGTACCAAGGTCGCGCATGATTCGTTCCAGGAATCTGGGAGAGGTTTCCTTGCAGTAGCTTCGCGGTTTCCCGCAGGTCACCTCATGTGGGTAACCTCGGGGTCACCACGAACTTTGAGGTAACCTCGCGGAATCCTATACTGAATCCTTTGGGTTACCTACAGCGGGGTAACCTGGAGGAAACCTTGGGGTAGGTTTTTGCCGGTTCAATTTTTGGGATGACGGGCAACGGGCCACACTCGACAAAACACATAACTGGGAATGATTCGCCATTCCAGGAGAAACGTGACAAAATAGCAAAAAATGGGGAACCATAGTTGCACGGTGATTCGAGAACCTGATGCGCGATTAATGAGCAAAGAATTTCTTCGGAAGGAAAATCAAAAGAGGCATTAGGTGTACCCTTACAGTCCGCCAGGCCACCAACAACACGCTTACACGTACTATGCATAGTGCACGGCAGTCTGACTGTTGCCTCATGGTACTGTAGCTACAGCGGTATTACAAGGAGGCGGAATAAGAACCGCTGGCTTGCGCACAGTAAAGAAGACTTTCCTCGCGCCACTATTTCGTAAGGTGGCTCTCCTAAGGGCGCGTAACCATTTTGCACCCGACGGTTCGAACCGTGGACCGTCCGGGTGGCGAAAAGGTAACAGCTCTCGCGCTATGTCGTAAGTGTGTTCGTTAAGGTGTTGGCGACATCGCCAACTAAACGGACAGTCGTGACACTTTTTCCCATTTTCTACGGTCCGAAATCTGAACCGTGGACAGTCCGAATCTCAAACGGACTGTCCGAACCTCCTTGCATCCGATTGGTGCACGATATAAAAATTCTCGGGCAGCTCGTCCACCAACAAAAACATGTGGTCAGATTTCGCAAATTTACATTGACCAACCAGAGACAACTCGCTTAGAACAATGATTCGACAACGAAAAACAAAGAAGATCGTGAATCGCGTAACGCTTGTACAGTTGTCGCGAAACTGTACAATACAAGAAAAGTGTCACAACTGCCTTCGGACAGTCCGAAGTTGCAAAATTTTCACTTCGGACGGTCCCGTTTTCAGTAAGTGGACCGTCCGCTTCGTTTTAAGCGGACTGTCCGTCAAAATCACAAAATGCAAAATGGTTACGCGCCCTAAACCAAAGCGTGAATCGAATTTGTTATAGGTTGGTTGGTGTTGTTGGTTGGGAGACACCAGAGGGAGCTAGGAGGCGGAGGGGGGAGAGCGCGAGTCGTTGAGATGAAACGGGGGGGACTGTGTGGTCGGGATTACTGTACCGTGTACAGTAAGTATTTTGAAGCGGATGTTCTGCTGTTTCTTACCACCATTCAAATGTGGCCACCTGGTTTTCAGGGTCATCCACACCACACAAGTACGGACACTTGCGACCAGAACCCGAACCGAAATTGTGACACCACGTAACGAGAATGCCAACTCGCGACAAAGGCGACGACGAGAACCAAAACTTCGTGTTGTTTGTGAGCTTCGGGGTTGGAGCAGCTCATAAATAATTGTTCGTTGATGCAGAAACACTTTCGTTCCGTCAATCGCGTACGAGTCAGTAGGAAACTTAGGTGATTTTGAATCTCACGGTAATGTTTCCCGTTTCTGGTTAGCTTTTCGTGATTTGCTGGGATAGAGGGGTCGTCGGCCTGCAGCCTGTGTGCCGTTGTCGGGCAGTCCACTCTCCTGGATAGTCCCTCCGCGAGTCTTCTCAGCGCCGCGCATGCGCGCGAGCTTCACGCCGCGCTCTCTCTCTCAACCTGCACTCACCAAGGTCTAAAATGAACCAATCAGGTTTAGGCCGATCGCCGTGTATCAGCCTGAGGACGGTGTGCCACTAAGACAATCGTCCTTCCTCCCCCCCTCCAAATCCCTCCTCCTGTGGACCGGCTCGGCTCGGAAATGTGAATTTAGGGTTTGTGGTGCTGTGTCTGCCATGTCATCATCCCACCTTCAACGCCCGAAGCTGGCAGCTTTGGTCCACCTGCCCGAAGCTGGCTTGGTCAAGCTTCCCGAAGCTGGCAGCTGGTCCGCGCCGCGATCATGCTGGTGGAACGCCGTCGCCGGAGCAACGAGAGCCCCCCGTTCCGAACGGGAGTGTTCGATCAATTCCCTCGCCCAGCGGTTGTGTAGATGCAGGCCTGCATCATCGTATAGATGATCTCTAGTTCCACCAGATTTTCAAATCCAAGTTACAAACTTTCACCCTGTCACCCTCTCAAGCCGATATACATTTGAAGTTGCTACCAAGATGGAGCGTCACGTGGCACCTCTCTTCGTCCTCCTCTGTACGCATTTGCGCCTTCTTGCTCTTTTACGCTTGAATCGACTCGTTCACGCCTTTCTGCCCTTTTACTGTTAGCTGGAACTTAATAGTCAGCTCACTCCAAGTACCTTTTTGCTCTTTCACTACTTAGTGATATCAAGTAGTAGCAGGAAAGTAGTATGTCTCATGCAGCCATGTTTGACGCAAGTATTTGACACATAATGATAACACCACCATCTCTAAATTGTACTGACCCAAAAGGGACCCAAAGGTGACTTCCGGGCAAGATTTGGGACATCTGGAAATCTGTCCCAGAAGTCACTTTTGGAACTGACACTTTAGGTTAGTCTGAGGTCAGACCGGCTCACCCAAAAGTGACTTTCGGGTCAGGTACGGGTCAGGTAAGGGTCAGGTACGGGTTAAGATTTTGGCGGGAAAAGTCAGGTACAGGTCAGGTACGGGTTAAGATTTGGCGGGAAAGTCAGATTTGGGGCAGTTTCGGGTCACACGTGGCCAGCGCATGGCCTGATTATATCCCCTTTACAGAGTGTTCTTTTTTTGTAATAAGCTTTTTTAGTTAAAATTGTATAATATATTTTCCACAATACATCAAAACATTAAATATCATGACTATGTAGAAAACAGGGCCTTGTACAGTGGCCCCAAAATATTAAAAACACTGCAGTGCTACGGTAAAACAACCTGGGAACACAAAACCGGCAGACATTATAGGGTGAACGGCATAACAATCTGAAAACTAGAACAATCATTTAGCAATTATCACCTTATAATTTGGAAACATCACCTTCATTGCTCTGTGCCCCAAAATAAGATTAGGCATGTCATAATAAAAATAATCTTCAACGTGTGTTTTCCATGCCAGGTTGTTATAAGGGACGAAAAACTGCATAATCAACCAAATTAATCTTCACAACATATATGCACCTGCATGTAGAGACTAAAGAAAAGGAGACATGAGACAAGCTGACAACAAACTGCAAGGATAGGTGAATTAAAAATCTCAATGGCGGCAAGATAGAATGTATTGCAATGTCTGGAAAATGAAACAACAATCTGCAAGGAAAGACGGCTTTAAGAGATTGCAGTGGCGGAAACACAGATTGGTATATTTTTTTGAATCAGCGCTAAAAATTCGGATGAATCACCATAGTTAACTAGCGTTTTGTCGCTGAAGTGAAAGGACCTGTGAGGTGAGGTTGGTGAACATCACGAGAAGGAAAATGGAAATTGAAACCCTAGCCAGATTTGACTTCGTCGTAACAAAAAATGTATCTGGAATTATTTTAACGGCCTTGAGTTGTGAGATTTTGTCATGGTGGTTCAGCGATAGAGATCCGAAGGTTAGGGGATCGAATCTCGCCGCACACTGGTTAATTTTTGTTCCTTACGAATAATAAGTTTCGAAGTCAATAGATGCATTTGAGTCTAGAACTGCCAACGACAAGTATCGAACCCGCATCTCCAGATCCCCAAGGGCTGTGCGGGTCAGGTTACTTTTGGGTCAAAAAACTCACTGACCCAGAATTTACCCTGTTCTGACCACTAACCCCAATTTGCCCCCAAAGAAACTCTGGGGGCATTTACATGACAGGCTTGGGTCAGGCCGGAAGGTGGGTCACGCTCGGGTCAGAAACATTTTGGTGATGACGTGGCTCTGTGCATGCCTTTCCTGGCGTCAGCTTGGTTGCTTCTCTTGATTCAATCCTCCCCCGATTAAGAAAGCCGCCGGTTACCCTTATTTCCATCACCCCCCCCCCATCCTCCATCCATCATCTCCCTGTCATCCTGCCTCTCCTGCCTCCCCACCTTCCCCCAGCAGCATCAGCGGCGGGGATATCAGTGAGTCGACGCAAAAATCAACTCTGACCTGCAATCGATCTTGAGGCATTTAGTGATACCCCATCCTCCCACCCCCCACACACGCACCACCTCCCTCCCCCAGCATCATCAGCAGGGGGGATATCAGTGAGCCTGCAGTGCCAGCGCTACCCCTTGGCTGACGGCGCTGGGGGCGGCTAACAGCTGAGCGAACGGCAACAGGCTTTGAAGAGTCACTCTCGTTGCACTTATCCCCCCCCCCCCCTCCTTCCCCCCTTCCCCCCCCCCCCCCCACCCTTATTTTCCACCGGCAGCGACGGAATGTAAGTGACGGTATCCCTTGCGCGT